TAATAACTCTGTATGAAAAGAGACAATTAATGTTGGTCTAAAGGTTCTGGTCATCACAAATAGACCTGTTCCAACAGAGATCCATCCACTTCCCGGTTAACTGTCCAGTAAAGTGCTTAATGCAGTGTCCCCCAGAATAATATTTACTGCAGCAGTCAGTCTCGTGTCGCTGATCCCTGAAGGCCAATTCAGTGTTGGTTACATTCAACTCCATATTGATTATACATAATCACTGGAGGTATGTCTTTCCCCTTGACTCTGCTCATGTCCAAAGTAAGGTCAACGCTGTAAATCCAAAGTAGGAAAAGCTAATGAACTGATGAAGGTAAAGTGAAGAACCTAGCTTATTGTAGCCATGTATGGAGAAAGCTCTATGACCAGAGACTCTAAAAAACTAAACTAAACACTGCATTTGCTATGACTAATTAATGTACTTTTAGCTCAGTCGATTATGCTGTCATTGCAATATTTGGGACAAAAATATAAGCCACTTATTGTTGATGAAAAAATGTTGGTATAAAAAAAGCAAATTTAGTAAATTAAGAAAAGGCAAATAAAAGACTGCAAATTCAGAAAAGATGCAAATGCAACTACAATAACTGCAAAGGGGTTAATCATAATCGAAAGAACATACAAAGACAATACACAATATGGCTTACAAAGAGCAATTATAGGAGCCAGAGTACATTGCAAGCATGTCGAATAAAGACTTGTCTACCCAGTATACAACTTTGCTCTTGTAAGAGATAAGGCAGATATAGAAGTGTCCTTCATTACGCCACGGCTGTTAAGGGAGAAATGCTTCAAGACGAAGTCAAGGTCAGAGGAAAACCTCAATCTGCCATTACAATAGTGATGGAGCGTAACATCCTTTGGAGGTCCAAGAATTGCTGGCACATTTTCATTCTTGCTGTAGTGGCAATGAAAAGGAACCATGGTAACTTTAAAAGACTGAACATTCATCTCGTAATGGAATTAGCATGAGCATATCCGCGTGGGCAACACTGATTTAATGAAGGGCTCAGCTTGCAGCATCTACTGTATGTAAGAGGCAGATATAAGGAAGTACAAACTGGTAAATAGTGATTGTAGATGTACACTGAATGGTGATGAATGGGAAATAAATAGATAACAGATTATCTATTATTGTGTGGTGTATTAAATACACCACACATTTGTGTCTTTGCGTATCCCTTCCCAAAATTGATAATTAATCGAGTAAACTGGGTCTCACCAATCTTCAGCTACAATTAACGATTCCAGTCTTTTCAAACTAACTGTGTGCAAATGCTGCATTATACAGAGGTGATGTACGCTAGCATTTAAGCACAGTCACTTATCTTTGTGCTTGTGTTATAATGCTCGAGGGACTTTGTACACTCCGACTCCTTTCAGCACAAGTAGTTTGCGAATGCAAAAAAGAAGATTTGCTGTTGAATACTTCAATAATGGAACATGGTAAAACACCAGGATATTCAAAGCCTATCAAAGTCTAATGTTTTACCTAAAATATTGCTGTAGCAAATAGTTAAAACTGAATTTTTCATTCATCTTGGGAAAATGAATAATATATCCATTAACAGCCAGAATTGAGCAGTTGACTTGAAATATTCATAGCTGATCTAGACTACACTCTAAACCATGGGAACTAGATAATAATAGAGGCTGTATAGAAGTTATGACCGTACAAAGGAAGATGGTACTTTCCGTCAAGCTCAACACTGAAGCCTTCCAAGAGTGTGTCTGAGTTAATTTCAAATATGAAATACTGAGCACACCCATGAGATGGGGTATATTTAAGTAAAACTATTTTCCTTTTAAAATGGCATTCATATCAACTACTTCATAGAAACACCAGTACAAGGGGATCTTATCACAGAAAAGGAACTTATTCGTTATGTTTCTTTGGTGTATAAATGTGCACGTGAAAGGTTGTTAGTAACATGGCTGTTTACGAGTGTGCGACTATTTGTATAAAAACAGAGCTAAACAAGAAGACAGGACCAATTCTAATGCAAAAATCTAATTTGGGAGTCATGGAGAAGATTTCCCTGACTATCACTCCATTACATTTCACAGATCTTTAAACCAAAGATATGCACAGCTTAATAATTAGTGGGTTCCTGTCGCTGGTCGAGATGGTGTAATGAGAATGATGTGAGCCTTTGGGGGTGAACCTGGCTTGTCATTAAGGTGAGTAGAGAACAAAGGTGGGAAAAAGAAAGATATTGGTCACTCTGGAGCCAAATGGAAGAAAATCGTATGTAAACAAAGTAGACATGATGAGGGGGCAATTTTTTACTTTGACACTGCTGTTCATGTCCAAACTCTAGGCTAATGGATTAAGACAGCTCCTCCTTGACATCAGGGAGATGACTGCAGTGACATTGATCAGGATGTTAATTAGCCTAATATATTAAAGGATTGTGATGGTGGCGGTTATGATGACTGTGTCTGAGATGGCACGAATAATGATGATGACAGCAATGACAATGATATTGCCAAGTATATAGGATAGCCTTGAGTGTATAAGCTATTCAGCTAGCTATGACCAGCAATGTGCATGCTCACCCAGACAAAAGGATACAATTCTGCATTGCACCTCATTATAGCTTGTGCTCCCTATTTTCAAAAATGTGGTATGCCATACACATTCTTTGGATTGTACTGGAACAGTGATGAGGAAACATAGTATGAATGTCAGCGGGAGGGATGGACGTTTTTTTCTGGAGTTGTCATATGTTTTTAGTACAACGGTGCAAAATAGTGCTGGACATAACACCTGGTGAAATCTCGTCTGCAATGAATACTTCAGTTCTTTATGAGTTTTCTCTCAACAATACTGCTAAATTTGCATGAATCAAAACTGCATTCGACATGCAAACATCACATTAAATACCTCCTTTGTGAATCAATGGACTCTCTAGTCAGAGTAATTCCAGAAGGTCCTTTACTTTTTTTTTAAAATTAAAATAATTGAATTATTAATGTGTGACATGTCTGGTTTTGCAATACCAAAATGACGTTCTAATTATTGCCACATCAATTGTATTGCAGTCGGTAGATAATTTATACTTACACTTTATGCCTAAACGCACTGAACGCATAATTGACGCCACTCATTTGGCACGCCACACAGAACCAGCAATACTTTCGGAAAAGGTCGCTATTCATGCAACACCTTACCTTCTAAAATATTAAAATGCAATGACTAAAATACCACACAATCTGCGAGATGGATGATGTATCTATCTGTTGATGTTCTGGGGACTACAAAAACACTCAAAGTACAGACACTGTTCAACAGAAAGCACACAAACTGGCCAGCAAATCACAACTGGAATTTAGGTTTACATTCTACAGCTGATGTGACCTACTGCCAGCAACATTTGTCATTTTAACCAGTATAGTAGTATTATTTAATTCATAATCTATACAATATTGATACTTTTATTTCTTCTACTCTAACTCATCATTAATATTTTCACATTTCTCACATTAGTCTCTGGACCGCGGCTTACGCTCTGGCGTACAAGCAACTGCTGTGTACCTAACTGTTGCCCAATTCTTAAAAAAAAAAAGTAATGTAAAAAGTAATGCGACATCTAGTTCTTTTGTCAGAAACATGTAAATGTATTTGTAAGAAAAATGTATTTGCCTAACACGTCCTTGGACTAAACAAAGTTTTAACATTGTCGATGCAAAGGACAGATTTTGAGTGTAGCATCAAGCAGATGCTCCCTCATCAGTAAACAGCTTAGGCAGACCAAAAGGGCACACAAATCACTCACTCTCTAGCTGATGTCAAAGGAAGCAGCAGTGCTGTTTTAAGTGACAGTATGCAAAGAGAGGCCCACATAAAGCTTTCTAAAGGCTGCTTTGAAAAGGGCCACGAGAAGAAAAGGCAACACCCAGTGAAGGACATAGGAATCTATCACAGGACTTCTCCAACAACAAAACATTACTGGATCTGCCAGGATGTTCCTCCCAACCACCCATAGAATGTATAAAAGAAGAAGATCCACCACAAAGTCACCCATTGCTTAGAAAGAATGCAGGTTTAAGCCACTTCCGCATTGGCTTAAACCTTAATGCCGGGTTCAGTTTTTGAGCAATGTGAAGAAAAATATGGAGACATAATCAGATAGAGTGGTTACATAAAGAGGAGCACAAGGTTTTTACAATCTGAGAAGAAATTCTCAATATGTAATCAGGTGCACCTCAGGTGCCAAAAACATTAGTTAAAATGGTTAATTCAAACAACAACGTAAAATTTCAAGACTGTCTCAATTAGATTCGTAAGATTGAGCTGTCATTGGCTATTTCCATCACCATAATGAAACAGACACACACAGGTATATTTTGCAGCCGCAAGCAGCAACAGTACTCAAAGCGGCTGAGCTCTGCATGCAAAGCTGCATGACGAGTATTCTATTACTAAAATTAAAGTAAAAGTATATGATGGTTGAAGCTTCAAGTTGTGGTTTGCAGTTTGATTTCTGCCACAAATGTTTGTACAAGCAATTAAGAAGACGAGCACGTTTAGGAGCAAGATGTACCTCCATTCTGCTAAGTTACCTTATTGCAAATAATTTAATGACATTTTCCTCACTGTCTGGGACAAAAGCTGTATGGCATTAAATCAGTGAAAGCAAGAATGTCCATACAAGATGAGTGCAGAAGTCTAGAAGAAGAACGTGTGTGTATGTTTGTGCGTGTGTATGTGTGTTTGTGTGTGTACAATTTCTAATATTTACATCTGGGCTTTGGACATGCAGTACAGGCTGTGTTATCTCTCTTCTTACCTAATGAGGAAGGTTTGTATTTCTTAGAATAAAGCGCTGGTTTAAATCTTAAGGCACCATTATGGTAACCTGACCTGCATTGCTCATATATTCACACACAACATGCACATAACTCTTTACATTCTCAACTGTATATACTGTATAAATATATGTGTGGGTATATGCATGTGCCCTCCTGAATAATTCATGACTGACCTCCACCAGCTTGTTAGCATGTTCACGGAACACCTGGGCATACTCCTTGACCTCCTTCTCATTTCCACTCTTAGCCGCTTCAATGAGCACCAACAGAGGGACGTTGGTCTCCAGGAAAGAGTCTGAGATGTGGTCCATCACCGCCTTTCTCAACTAGAATACAGAAGGAGAAAGATGGGGAAGAGGTCACACAATTAATATTATTGCAGATAACTTCCCTGAATTACATTTGGCAATGATGACATATCATTAGCTTTGTGATGAATATGATGTAGTCACATAATGGGGTGAAAGGACAGAAGAAGTGAGAGCGAACCAGAGCAGCAGAACTCTCAACGGACAGGAGTGTAAATTGCTTGTAAGGTGTCATTTTTCTCATAACGCCTTTTACTAGGGCAGAGTTTGCGACTTGTATCTTTGTTTATGGAATCGTTTTGAACCAAACTGGCAGGGGACTAGCTGTTTTATAAGACAGTAAATGGACCCTGGTGGCCCTCACTGGGATATCTGATGAGATGCCAAAGGGAACAGTATAGTAAGCAGAACAGACAACAAGTCCTTTATCTTACACAAAGAAGGAGTTAGTCATATGAGACCAGTACTACGACAGACAGGAATAAACTATAGGGACAAAAGGTGCAATCTCGCAAATGTATCATCGCCATTCATTTGTTATGAGACGACTTAGAGTCTGAAATCTTCCATCATTAATGAATTTGTTCCAATTCTCTTCACTACAAAAAGGCTGTGTTACTTTATTTCAGTTACACAATCAAGGTCTATACAAACTAAAGAAAGGATGAATTGTTTGCACACCACACACAAATCTCTTACGGCCAGCTCAGTTATCACTTCTCCAAACATTCAAATGATGGCATTAAAGTGAAACGTGTTTCATGTTAATCAACATGGATGACAGAAATTTGTTTGACTTCTCAAGCCATCTTCTATAATTAGATGCAAAGCAAACACTGTGACCATATTTCTGAATTAAAAATGCTTAAGCAGAAAGGGAGATGGTAGAGAAGGTTAATAGTTGTGACTGACAAGGGAAAATTAATGTAACGAACAAAGAATTCATATGCAAGTCTGTCAATTGCACTTAAATAACCTGCGGCAATTACAAACATAATTGCCAGTTCACAGAGCTGAGGAGAACAATAGGGAACTCTTTCCTTTCTAAGGGCAGATAATCCATCACTATTGCCTCTGGAAAGAGAATAGATTTGGCCAGTCTAGTGGACATGACAGGTCTGCAAATGCTGTAAACAACCTGAAGCCCACACTCTCAGTAAGCACTCCTGTATCCATAACTCTCTAATCCTGTATCACCGATGTCATGAGATATGTACTGAGATTCAATGCAAGACCAAAACGTCAGGCTTTTCTCAGAGACTGATACATTTGACATTTTTCGAATTGTGAATATTGAATCTTTGTCACAGAGAACAGACATTGCATAAGTGCAAGTGAGTAACCTTGCTATCCTGTCACCTGGTGGGAAGGGCGGGGAATCAGAGAAGATAAAAATCTTGCATTGCCAGAACTATCTTCACACTACGTTAGTGCTGTTGCAGCACTGGATAAAGGTGTGAAAGAACACACTATCATTTTGCGGAGGGTGGAAACAAGATCTGGGTTGTTTGCAGGCCTTAGCTGTGGTTACTTCACCAATGTTTGCACTGCAGTAAATAAAGTAATGGAGTGGAATGGAAGGGATGTTGTTGAGCTGCATTTTGCGTGTGGAAAATGTATTACCATCGAATAACCCCGTAAGCCCCACGGTGATGGAGACTTTGACTATAGTATGTATGACAAATCAAAAAATAGTTGACCAGAGGCAAGAAGAGAAAGAACCAGAATACAGTGACTGGCCAATGGAAGGCTTATCCTATCAGGCCGCATACATTTAAACAGTAAAGGATAGCATTCATATTCATAATTAATTGATAGGAAGTGTCAGACTCATACTAAATCATACTTAGGATAAAGATGCAGTTGACACATGAAAGCCAAAAGAGTCATACAATTATCTCCTCTTTGTTCAATGTATCCTGATCTTTTTTCGGTTTCGGATCGGTTTTTAAAGGGTGTGAAGAGTGTGAAGTTTAAAATATTAAAAAAAAACTCTATTTTGAACATCTACAGGGTAGAAGATGGTATTGTTGTTTCTAAGGAGACATCACTAGTAGATGGCACATACAAGGGCTTATATTATGCATCGGATGAGTGTAAAAGAGTAGTAGGCCTCAGGATACTTATAGCCCAATACTCAAACGGTTGGTTTGAGTGGTGAAATGATGCAGACGAGTGATTTCCCAAGTCAGAGTCTCTCCTGCACCATCAGCATTCTAATGCTCACACACCACTCCCACAGAAATCCATCTTCAATCTTTCAGATCTCACCTCCCTCCATGCTCCACCCCCACCGTCTCTTTTCTAACACTCCCTCAGCATTTCACGAACACTTAAAGGAAATAGACCTGGAATTCCAATGGATAGCGAAGGCTCTGTTCATTATACTTTAGTGGGGCAGCTATTTTTCTCCCCAGTCACACAGTGCCACAATGGATTCAAGCTCCGAAAGAATCAGGTTTTTTGTTTTACGCAACAATATTCAATATTCATTGCTATAGATGTTCGTATTGTATCCTGGGATTAATTTGTTGCCATACATTTTATTTTTCCATAAATGTCAACAATTTGAGGAAAGCTCTTTCCGGCTTCAACATGTTCAGATGTCTGAATAATTTGTCTGCACACTTGTGCCATACGGTGAGATCAGTAATGTTACATTGCATCCTAAATGTTTACCAGTATTGTAGAGGGATTTGAACGAACCTGGTGTCAATTAGCCAATAGGAGGTAGGCTATTTGTGAGTGAATGAATGAATGCATGATTTAATAAAGATGTAGTTGAGTTCCTTGTGCATCTCTCCACTCTTGCCATCCAAAGAGGGGGAATAGCTAACATTAACAACAGCCACTACCACCTGACACTGAAGTGGCTAACAAGAAGCTCTGTGAAATAATAAAGATGATGCATATGCATAACACAACTTGGCAGGCATATATCTGTGTTGCTTACTGATAAGTGGGAGGACTGTGATCTTCACAGATGATATTAGCATTAATTTGACGCATTTGCTTTTTAATGGGGAGAACGTTTTCATTTTGTGGGATTAGACACCTGCCCAGTCACAAAAACAGATGCATGAGGGAAACTGTGCCATCCCCCCATCCAATGTAACATCCCCTATGATCAGTGTATGACTCAAAAACAAATACATAATATTAGGTTAAAAAGACTGCAATTATCATGAGTACACACATGCATTAAGACTGGACTTGTTTACAGTTCAATATAGTCTTAGCACATGTAAAGACTGGAAACACTATGCTGGATTCCTGAATGTTTACAGTTGCACTTCTGTTTCACTTGTGATTCAGAGCACATAGTGGTGGGTACCTTGGGGTCAGCAACAGGAAAGTTTCTTATTAAAATGTCAAGAGCAATCACAGCATAAACGGCAAGAGTCACGGCTGAGGGGAAACAGCCTGAGCAAATCAAAAATTAAGTAATAGCTCTCATATATGATATCTATCAGGGAGCATGGGAAGATGATTAGTAAGAGGAGAGTGGATAAATGAAAGGGGGAAGAGGGAGTGACTGATCAACAGTCTCAGGACAAACACATTAGATAGCTCATTGCAGAGCCTCGATTGAATGTGTCCTGCAAAATAGAACACTGGCCAGAGGACTCTTTAGAGACAAGGAAGGGGTGAAAAAATGGTAATTTGACTCTGAAGTGTTTAAGGAGAACTAGTGCTGGCAGATATGTCATGCTGACTGTTGATCACCTGCATCTACTGAAGGCTTTTTTTATTTTTATAATGATGGGATTCCGATAATCTTATTGAAATATTTACTTTCGAGTAGTACAAAATTGTAAGTAACCTTAGTAAGTAACTTATTGAACAATTCCACTGACCACAATCACATGTAAGAACATGGACTGACCAAATCAGTGTTTGTGGTGGCAGGCAAAGCCCCCCTGGCAGCCATGTTTACTCCAGGACATAAAGCACGGATTATCTGACTGTTTAACACCATCAGAGGTAGCTCTGATATATCAATGAGACACTTATCAACCTCCAGGGCTGCTTTATTCTTACTGAGAGACTAAGCCTTTAGGAAAGTGATTCCCAACCTTTTTTTTCTGTCATGGAACACATCCTGAGTTAAATGAAATTCCAGGAGGCCCCACTAACCGTTAACTACTGAATAATTATAAAATACTATACACATCTGGAACTGTTAATGTGTGTATCATTTAGTGGCTTTGTGAAACTTGAGCTTGGCAAAACAAAATTAGCTGGGAATTGATGACAAAATCAAATGTGGTCATTGAATAAAATCTGGGGTTTTGCTAAATCTACCCATACAGACATAGTGTGTAGCAATAGGGTTGTATGAGAAAGGGTCTGGTCTGTGGTGATGCAGTTTTGGTTCGGCAAGCTGGGCCCCTTACCGGCCTCAATCATTTTATTATAATGTCATTTGTGAGTATTGCCGAGTTTGTGATTAAGTTATGTCTGAACACGTATCAATGAATGATTTTTTGGATGCTTTAGCAGTATTTTACACTGTCAAAACAATCACCGTATAAAGTTTGTATAGCAAACTTGTTAGCAAACAGTTGCTTATTTACACAACAAGTAGATACAGAGCAACATTAGCATTCATTTGGAGTCATGTCTGGCTACCTGAGAATGTAAAGCCAATACTCACTCTACTTAGCTTAAAGCTGTTTTTTGTTTCTAACAACTACTAAGGGAAAATAGCATACTCATTGTATATCAGCTATCTGCTGCATCTGGAATAGTTGCTGATGTGAGCGGTAAATTGAACCATAATAGCAAAGTTCCCTAAACTATGAGCTGATCGCTCCATAGAGCTACAGGGAACTCCTGAAGGAAGTTCAGGAGTTTGTTCAATTGTTCAATTCAACAACTGAACAATTGTTAATATTTTGATGAAAGTTTCCTTCAGTCAAAATTCTTTGATATATATATATATATATATATATATATATTTCTTTTTTTGTATTATTAGTCTAGCTATAAACATGTGCTTGCTCCAGAAATGGCTGTGTATTTTCCAGTGCCAGTGATAACAGGCAATAATATAGCTAATGACATTTGCAGTAACAGATCCAAAGGATTCACATATAAAAACTGTTAGTCTGAACAAACAGTTACAGCTGATAAGTTTCATGGCAGCTGTTCCTCCTTAACATGATCACCCTCAACAATTAAAAACAGCTGTACTAATCAACAAACTAATGGCAGCAATGGAAATGCTTTCAACATCCCAAAGCAGAAAGAGCGGGAGAGAAAGAAAGAAAAACAACTGTGAGGCAGTTTTGCTACAGGGAATCCTGCAATCAGCCGTCAGTCAAAATACAGCCCAGAGAGATGACTTGACAGATGCATTCATTACAGACAGGATGACAGGGGGTAGAACACATGGCTCATCTCCAACCACTTTGTAGGGTTGGTTAGCTTGTGAATGCTAATTAAAGCAAGGAAAGACATTTAAATCTTCAGAATGATGCTGTTTTTTGTATTTGTATTTTTTTCTGCTGTCAAGTACAATTCTCAAGGTGTTCTTTTTTGGTTGCACTTGCACTGTTAACTGCAGACACGGTTTTAAAAGCAAAAATAATGTCTACACATACCTGTGCCGCTATTCAGGATAGTCTGATTACAGATGCACTAGCTGCAATACATAAGAGGCAGCTTCTCTGAAGTGAAATAAGGACCCTACTTTTGCATTAAGTAAGCAGGGCCTTAGAACATTCATTTAGACGCGATGACTGTGTGATAATGCTTAAAGAGTGGATAATGCTTAAAAACAGACTAAAGCAAGGGAGAAAGCACAATCTGGTTTGATTCCAGGAACAGATGTAGGAACAGATGTAGGATTTGTTACAAAAGAAAACATGATTTTGCTTATCTCAAAGAGGCAAATTATTATTGGTGTTTTTGTGACGAAACAGGGAAGTAAATGCATAAAGGATTTCAGAAAACATTCCTGACATTGTAATGTATAATCTGAACTACTGTATACAAATGGACGCTAACATGAACAGCTTCAAATTTGGATTGCTAATTTTTAAACTTGGGTTGGAGGGCGACATTTCTGAGCTACAGAATCATACGTTAGCTTGCCTTGACATTTTATTCCTGTGATCTGTTAGGGCACCTCATCTGGCAAGTCAAGTTTCTTATGAGAAAACAAGGTCAAAGCTCATTTGATCTTTGGTTGAACTTTAGTTGTGAATTGTGTTGAGAATTTGAATTTGCTTTAAACCATGTGGAAACAATGACCAGGCATTATAACCCCAGTTCTATGGGCGCCTGAGCTTTGTCTGTAGTGGAGCTTTATGGGCTCAACCAGTCATCTAGGCACACTGACAAATGGTTATGTTAATGCTTAACAAACGAGGGTAAGAATACTTAACACTGTGCAGTTTGGGGGCTCTTCACCAGCATGAGAGTCGTTTAAGGACAGCAGGTATACATATACATATACATATATATATACATATACATATATATATACATATATATACA